ATATATATCGCCAGTATAAGGCGAACGGCGGCGGTAACAACGACCAGCACAATAATATAAATATAATATGTATAGAGTAGTCGAAGAATTTCCGTTTCYCGTGTTGGCGAGCGCTAGAAATCCACTGCGCAGCAGTGTCTGGAGGTTCAGTCGTCCGAACGTCCTGAAAATTAAAAATTGCAAAAAATATAATAAATCAGCCGTCAACGATAACATCGGGAAAAAAAATTATTAAAAACGTCATATTGCGGTGGAGCGAAGCGTATATATTTATTTCGACTGCAAATGTAATAAATTCTAATACCCTATCTGCGACCATCCCCTCCCCACGACGCATCCGGGCACGTAATAAAATATCATTTCTTCACATATCTCTGGCCATATGGGTACCTAAATGGATAAATACCATAAAATATACGTAAGGTTGTCGGTATACCATAGGTAGATGCACTCGAATAATAGCTATTTGGCTGGGTGGGGCAATGCGGGGTTTGAGTTTTCAGGTGCACTTGTCGCCGCGAGAAATCATCACCGCCGCCGTGCCCGGTCGGTGGCGCAAACAATATAATAATATATAGGTAGTGTATAAATGGCGTTTTCTTACATCATACTATTATTACTATTGTTGTACRGTTGCACTGCGCGTGGTCATACCTCGCCTACATTATTATATAATCGGGCGTATTGCGTTTGCAAAGTATTTCAATAAAAATAATATGGTAATGTGTGTGTTATACGTCGCGTATGGTATATGGTATATGAGACCGTGCTCGACGCGATGAGAAACGGACGCATCTGCAGGGTCATATATAGCGAAAAACAGTCGGGATCGAACAAAAAAATATATCAATAAAAAGAAATCGAGCGGGCGAGTGGCTTTGCTGCCGAACGTTTTTTTTTCCTCGTCCTGCAAAACTTTTGGTCCGCCAAGATAGTTTTAACAGCTGAGCACCTCGAGCTAAATTCGCACGGGATTTTCGCGACGATGTACAGCTGCAGCATAGGTCGAACAAAAACGCTAAATACGACGTCAGTTAGCCAACAAGACGGCATAATAAGCGCCGGACAAAAACGAGACGGTTATTATTGCACTGAGACACTGCGAGAATTTCGTATTCCCAGTCAACTTGTAAACTTTTTACTTATTATACGCATATTRCGTCACGAAATTGACATGGGTATACTGTCCGGGGATAGATCGGTAATTTGGGACAGTTATTGCCTCTGCAACGACCTACCATAATTAAAAATAAAAAGGTAAACAATTCCCAGATAGGGGCAAATATATCTATTATTTATTAGTATACAGCGTATACACGTCAACATCATGTTTTGTATAATCCATTAAACTGAATATCTATAATAATGATAGTTTGTAAGTAGCGTATTATTATAATTATTGATGTTAAAATGTACAGAAATATTACAGTCAAATACGGAAAGTCAGTTATATGCAGTACCACCATGTATCACACATATAAGAGTATTAWACAGACGTATAGAACTTATACATGATTAATGTACTTGAATTTTCGGTCGAAAATATTGAAAAAAAAGAGAAAATCATTTTTATCCAGAGCACCGTAAAATTTAGTGCCGATTCTAAATGCGGCGTAACCAAACTACTGTTAGCCGTTATACGTAAAATACGAACGAAATCTCGTGACACGGAAATGTGATAGCTGTTATAAACGATTACGCTTTTACGACGCGGACTATTATTGAGAAATCGAAATGCGGTAACGCCGACAATTTAGCGGACTGTACGACAATAATGATAGCACAGCAGGGTGTGCAATAGCCAATGGGCATGCCTACCGTCGTAATACGCACAGAAATACCTGAACGTCGACGGGGCGTGAGGTAATCGAGTAGACGCTTTATGTATATCGAGACGAGAGTGTATAATACGAAGCGAGTGTGTAGTGCATTTAAATGCGTTTATAATATGCAGTCTGACGCGCACGCGTATTTATAATACATATATAATGCGTAATATAGGTAGTATAGGTATACCTCGGCATGTTTATAAATGTGTACACACATACACGCAGACGGACGGGACGGACGGAAACGCAGACGGAGGTAACCCATTCACCGATCTTAATCTCTGCTCATCTGTCAGTGTCAACACTTGCAGCAGCGGCAGCAGCTCGATACCACTCTATGCCCACCCGATTCTCCACGCGRCCGCCCCTCTCACAGTCCGACAGTGTTTTTATTTTATAGGTATATTTATATACACACTCCTCCTCCGGCAGCGTCACTCGCCCACCCCTTCCCCACATCACMACGATMTCTTGAGCTTGTTCTATATATTATTCTAMACCTCTGTCCACAGATTATAATGGCACAGCAATATTGTTTGTACACAGCGAGGTACACGCCATATGATTTATCATCCGAATAGATATCATACGCCGCTGGACCAGAGCTGCAGGTGCTCGTAAATAATTTAGGTGCATAGTAGTTACACATCATGGCAATATRCTAACCGATTAATCCATTTAGGTGGCATTTATTTAGTCTTGTTTTATGTTTTTAAACACTGTAAATTATGATTGCGCGAAAATGTGYAACAGCAGTATATAGGTATACAGGTACAAATAACACTTCCGTYAGAGAAAGGTAATTTTTATGGGGGTGTTTATTTTTTTGACAGTCCTTATATATTTTAAATATGAATATTTTTCTGAAAATGTCGACCTATACCAATAAAATATAATGAATAAATATGTGTTTGTGTTTTTTTTTCAAAACAGTGCTAACAAAATGTCGTGGCTGATTGTCGTTAATAGAATTACAAAATAAATTCACGTAAAACACGGTGATAATATTGTATAGTATAATACCTGAGACAAAAAAAAAAAATCATTTTATGTTCTCGGAATGACTAGAAATAATTATTTGTGTATCGTCAAATGGATTTTCAGTTTAAAATGTATACCAATAATATTACATGCCTATAACATTACATTATCGTTTACTTGCCATCAGCATATATGCTGTACCTATAAACGTTTACCGTAAGACAAATACCGTAGTACAAATCGCAATATTTAATAATATTATTCGCTTTTTTTCACATTCCACCGCGCAGAAAAACACGGACAATGTGTCGCGCGATTTTAACGTACCCTCAGATGACGATGAACTGCGGCGAAAATTACACGGGCGACACGTAACCGTTCATCTGTCTGTGCTGCTGTTGCTGGTGCTGTTGCTGATGCGGCTGTTGGTGCGGTTGTTGCGAAGGCCTGTAAAATTCACGTCAACGTATATATTATTATGATATCATAATTATTATTTCATTTACCGCCAATGGCCAATCGATAGATCTCCACCGACTCTCCGGCAACCTGTCGATCCACGATCACAGGCTGATAAAGTGATAATATAATAATAATAATAAACCATAATATTTTTATACACGGCACACTTACGTCTTGTAAAACGGTTTGAACGCCGTACTCGCGTCGTTGGCCACAACCGCCATCTGATGGTTGTTGTTGTTAGTGTTCGAGTTGTTATTGTTGTTGTGTTGGTTGAGCGYGACGTGCTGCTGATGATATTGCTGCTGTTGCTGCTGTTGCTGCTGCTGTACGTCTTGAGCCGACCTGACGACATCGTGCTGCTGTTGCTGGAGCGGCGGAACGTGTTGCCGGTGGTGATAATTGTTGTGCTGGTGTTGCTGGTGTTGCTGTTGTTGCTGGTGGTGGTACCCGTTGTAAGTGCCCTGATGGCCGCCAAACTGCTGTTGTTGCTGTTGACCGGAAGAGGCGGACAGCGGTAATTTCATGTTGGGCGGGGTTTGCGGTGGCGTGTCGGTCTGCACGTCCGGATATCCGGCCATTTGCTGGGCTGACGACGACGACGAATTACTGTTGCCGCCATTGTAACCACTGCCRTAAAATCCGTTGGCGCCGTACCTGTGCACAAAAACACGGTTAAAGTGGTTAAGCAGGCTTGTACAAATATTGATTTCGATAAACTTGGTTGGTGAACTAAACATAATAGAGAACTAACGATTGTAAAATATTAAAATATGTGGTTCATTTTATTTTTTTAATAGTGAAATATAAATCATCGATAGTTCATTACTCTTAGTTATTATATCTTATAATATTTTGACATGTAATAAAATCCCTGCGCAAGACACATATCCTGAAGAGGTGAAAGGCAATGAAAAATTCATCTTAGATCATGTCAGCCTGCACGGGCCTCCTATATCCGGCACATAGATAATTAGGCTATACGCTCACGCGTTAATAAATGTATAGGCACTTGTATATAATACGTATACAGTAGAGTCATGACGAATCGAACTTTAAGGGAAGTAAAATTCAATGAGACTTATGTGATTTTCAAAGTCATATGAAACGTAGTTGTTTACCGTATCGTGAGYTTATAGGAATTTTTATGAAATGAGGAAAAAGTTCTAGTTTTAAATTTTTTTGTTGATTTATCGAGACTAATTGATTGCGTATCATTTAATATTGTAGCTGGCGCTTATGGCTTACCTGGAGTAAGACGATCCGGATGGCGACAGGGACGAGGTGTTGGGCATGGTGAAACCGGGTGACGCCAGGCTCGGACTGATGACGTTCGGCCACTGGTGGCCGGGTGGCGGAGTCTTGGACGCGGCGGTGTCGGCCAGCGACCATATTTTCGGCTTGGTGGGCGGCAACGGTATACCGCAGTCCTGATGGTGATCGTCCTGCATGACGTGATGGTGATGCACCTTCATGTGGTGCATCTGATCGGGGTGGTACAGGTGTTGGAGCATCGGCTTGCGATCGTCGTCGCCGTCCGACATGACGCTCTGGCCCATCATGTGATCTCCGTGACCATCTGATGTCGCACATAGAAAAAACAAYACATAATGATCATTCCGTTCGGTTGCGAATGCGAGAGGAAGTCGGAAAATCGGGTTCCAGTRCAGTTTGGTCGCAGGAACTCGATTTCACGAGGTTAATTCGGAAGAACAGCACGATGTATATAAAATAGTGCCCCCTAATAAAATACCTACTATATTATGTTGAGTTCAAGAARATCAAATATTCGATTTACAAAATCTAACGCTCGCGGTTAGTGATTTTGAGTCTCGCCTAAACGAAATATATAGGCTTTAGAATAGATAATTTTTGTCGCTCGAAATAACAGTATAATGTATACGCCTCTTTTCCCATATTATATCATCCATCAGAAATATAAAACATCAACGGTCAGACAATGGACGGCTTATATAATAAATATTTATGTATACGCCTCTACCGGAATAAAACTGATGAGAACCTAACCGGGAAAATCCGACGCGAATATTACRGTCATGCAATCTTATGACTATCGKTGGCGTTTGATATTACACATAATGTTACGTACAATAGGTACAATATCGTACAACTGTCAACGATTATAATATATAATACTAGTCAGAATTTAAGTACCTWAGGCATATGACAGTATATGCGAAAAATAATGTACCTCGTCCCAAATACAATATGATGATGACGATATGTATACAATAATATGTGAACKATATGCGTGGGCGTAAAGAAAATCATACATTCGCTAGGATAGAATATTGTATAGCGTGAACGCACAATCGCGGAAAATAATAGCATTAGGCATTACCGTCGAAATAATAATAATAGCAATTTTCACGACTCGCGTGTATTGTTTATAAATTATTATTATTATTATCAGACACACGTTTGGACGCGTACACACACATATATATATATATTATATATATTATTGTGTGTACGGCGTGTGAGCGTGTAATTGCGCGGATATGCAAATTTCGTACACACAAACACACATTCATAATATATATATATATTATACACTGCACAAATGCGCTCACGAATCGACCGGCCAGCAGCATCCGCTGCAGCGGCAGGAGTAGCAGCCGCCTCGCGCATAATATTATTATATTATATTATAATAGTAGTCGCGAGCGGCCGATTCACACGGCGTTATATGTGCACCTATATATGTATAATATACATGTGTGCGCGTATATACTTACGCATACGACTCATGACATCTTTATAATAATAACACATACGAGAAGAAACGGGAATAAATTACATTACGCGTTCGCGTGTGTGAGTTGGTGTTTATTTATTATTATTTTTTTTTTTTCAACACGCGGTCTTGGGTGTGAAACGGATTGCGCGCGATGGTCGTGACCGGGAGATGGCCGAGATAAAGGCGAAAGCCCTACCGTTTCGAGTACGCGAGCGCTGCACAATACTCTACACCACTACGGCCATGAATAAAACACGATATATATGCACATATGTATTTAATATATATATATATATATATATAAGAGGGCTATACAAATGGGCACGTCCCGCGGAGGCGACAATGATTCATCCGCAAGCCCGAGTAAACGGCTCGGCCGGCGTTCCCGCGAGAGACGACCCCGTCGACGCAGTTTTAAACGGCACATAATAATATTACAATATAATAATATAGAATATTATCATTACTGCGCTGCAGTGGTCCCCTTCGTGAGCGCCCGCATTATATGGGATTGTCRTTATAATATTATAGGAAAAAAATAAAAATACTTTTCGTTAATAGCTTCGAAATGGTAATATTATGCCCGACCACCGCTCTCTCTCTCTCTCTCTCTTTCACACCCCCTCGCTTTAACACGCCTTTTCTCCGCGCGCACATATTAACCGTTTAGGGAGAGCGGTGCGACCGTATAAAAGCTCTCATATAATTTTCGACGAATAAAATATGTATATACGTATAAGTGCAGGATCCTCGCACTCACACATATTATATTCCACAAGTGTCATCCTCGTCTGATTTCATACGCACACAGAGGGGTCGCGACAATTACGATAATGCGTTACGCATCGTTCTGCACCGTTTTTCTCCGCAACACACACATAACAAAAAAAAAAAAAAACCATATCAACAGCGACACAATTTGTACACAACATATTCAAGCGGATGTATATAAGGCGAAGATTATGTTATATTGGCGCATACCTTTTCTGACGTCCTTGTTGCATTGTTTCTCGTCGCCCATCAGCATATCGTCCTTGTCCTTGTCCTCGCAGTCGGACGACCCGGCGTCGTCGTCGTCGTCGTCGTCCGTCTTGTTCTTGGGCTCCCACGTCATCTTGTTCTCCTTCTTCAGCCGCCTCCGGGCGTTGGCGAACCACGTGCTGACCTGCGTGAGCGTCATCTTAGTGATRATGGCCAGCATGATCTTCTCGCCCTTGGTCGGGTACGGGTTCTTCTTGTGCTCGTTGAGCCACGACTTGAGCGTGGCCGTCGACTCCCGGGTGGCGTTCTTCCGCCTGGCCGCCAAGTCGTATCCCGCGCTGTACCTGCGGAAACGGACGTCCGGTCAGACATTTTGCGAAATGCCGCGYACGCGTGTGTGACGGAAACGAAGCGGATATTACACATAATATATAAATATATGGAAGCGGTAGTGTAACCGCGGAGAGGACGCGCCGTCGTTCGGTCGGKCGGCTGCACCGGCCGAGGGGACGCGGACCGCGCATATAGAAGATTTATGATCAATACCGGTTAGATTTATGCATCTATACGCGCTTGACCCCGCACTGGGACGTAAACGCGTGTTTGTGCSTGCATGTGTGTGTTTGTGCACGAGCGTGTGTGCGTAAACGACGCGTAATTTATGCTCGAAGACGACGACGGGCGCATGTGATATTCGTCTGCACACACGCGCGCTTTTATTATGATTATTGTTATTTCGTCTCTGTCTCTGTGGCGTCTATTCGAGAAGAAAAAATAATTTTTTTCGTGTGCCTCCCCACCCCCACCCACCACCAATTCACCAACTATACACCCGGTCGGGCGAGTATCCCGCCGGGTTGTCAMAACATGTCATCCACGCGTGTATAAAAATATCATAATGTATAATATAGGTAGGTAGTATAATATAATAATGCATGATAATATGAATAATAACAACACATCCACYGCCTAATTTGTATAATCGCGCCCGACAGAGACACGCACTGGGAGAGAAAACTACAGAGAACGGGAGACGGCGAGATCATCCGTTGAGTGGCGGAGGGGAACGTTGAGAGAGCAGAAGTCCATTATTAAGTCTTTGACGGGAATCATTGGCCGAAGTTCGCCACGGGTAGTTATACGTATACTCGTACGAACGCAGTAACAAAAGCTCTGGGGATTATCTGTCGTATATTATATACAAGCAGTATAGTACGATTCTAATATATAATGATCGGGAGGGGGAGCTCTTCCGTAAGCGCGCAAACAACACAACCCCGGCGGTTCGGTGGTACAAATAATATAGAAATAAAATATATTATATCTGATGTATGTACCTGCGGGTTTTATTAAGTAAAACGAAAGCCGCCACCGACGACAATAATATTTTATATGTACATAAACAGTAAAAATAAAAACGTAAAAACGGGTAAACGGAATAGATATATACTAATAATAATAAAAAAAATCAATGCCCTTTGAGTTTAGTCGGGAATTCCGCTRCGGCGATCGTGTTTTCTCTCTATATATGGCCTCGGTATAACCGGTGCGTGACGGCGGTGGCGCCGAGTAATCGATATTATCGCCAACCGGCCATTTTGTCTTGAGTAGTACTTTGGTAGTAGTACTATAACTAGTACCTAGTAACTAGTAACAGTAGTAACTACTATATAATATCATAACACGACTAGACGTATACATACAATAAAAATATCATTACTACCRTTGCCTTTTAATTATACGCTCATAATATTATTATCACGCAGGTTCCAATGATCTTCCCGCATGCTCGATATCAACATTAGTCGACGCGAAGAGGAACGGTTGGAAATAAAATAAAGTTCAAGCGTGTTAACGAAGAGTAGGTAATAAAAACATGAAAATAAACACTGCTCACCCGTAAGCGGCCAAAGTGGAGTCGTAATGATAGTAGCCAGTGGATGGTTGCAGACTGGCGCTAGACCACATATCCGACGAGCCTGTCGAGTCTTTCAGTCCGTACGGGTTGCTCTGAAAAAAAAAAAAACAATAAATCGAATGAAAAAAGTTAAACGTACGAGCAATTTTTATTTAGACCCAGGACAATATATGTATATATATTATATATATATATATATATTTATAATACGACGACGACGACGGCAAAACGTGCGCGCAAGTTTTTTCAAACACGCGGACACGACAATCAGGTTAGGTCGAGTCTATAAATCTACGATTCTGTTTATAAGGCGGCTTATAATAATGTATATGAAACTGGTCGAGAGGTAATCCCCCCCGTTTGCGTATACACAATTTGCCCAGGAGGTCCGACGCATCAACGTCACGAGGTTGCGCACTGTCCTTATATTTTTATTATTATAATTGTTGTTGTTGTTGTTATATTGTCGTCTATATATGCCGAGTATATAGAGCCGGGTATGTGACAAGCGGCGGTGGCGTTTCGGGAGCTCCAACGATCGATCTATTTTAAATGCTTCGAGTATACGGCGTCATGTTATATATACCATCTAAGTCGAAACTTTATTTTTGCCGACCGACGAGAATTAATCTATAATAATATAAATACCTGTAGCATAGACGCGCTCGATATTATTTTACAGGTTCAAAATTGAAAAAAAAAA